CGTACCGAAAAAAAAAAAAAAAAAAAAAAAAAAAAAACCCAAATGACAAGAAAGCAAGTCTGCTAGTACTATTCAAGAGTAACTAGAAGGATTCACTGCTGTTGACAAAGATTTATTTTTAATGGAGTTAACCGAGGAGATCACAATGTAAAGAAATAAAAATAAAAAATACTTTTTGGATAGGTGAAATAAAGTATAAAGAATACATTCAGTGTTCCTGATCTGGAGGATAGACAGATTTGTGTTATTTCAGGAAAGGAACATAAATATCTTACCTAGCAAACACTGAGGATTATCAGCTTTTCGAACTCTAACAGACCAATGGGGAGCCTGAATAGGATCCAAATCACTAAAAGGCAAAACAATAAACACAAGATCCTATTTATGGCAATCTGCAAGACTCATACATTTACCAAAATGCAGTCTAATAAAAAACATTATATAGAAGGACAAGCAATCCATTTTGCCTCCCTTAAACTTACTGTTATTCATATGCAAACCATTTAGATAGGTTAAAAAAAATAAAACCTTAAGACATCAAAGTTCATAGACAAAAAAAGCACAAAAGGAAAAACAAAACAAACTAATCAAAAAACATAAGAATGATCCTGACAGGCAACATACAATGATAATCTAATGAGAATTACATTTTAGGAATAAAGAAAATGAAATGAGAAACAAACAAGAATCCATAATAATTTTAATCTGCTTTTTGTTACACTATTTATTAATAAAAAAAGAAACTATAAAAATTTCCACAAGATCAAAAGTGCCCCATTTTCTCAGTTAAACAGATTATGGTACATTCACTTAATGGAATACTATGCAGCAATTTAAAAACTGACAACACAGATCTACATTTATTAAATGAATAAAGGTATTAAATGAATGAAGCAAATTAATATATAAATTTATACCTTAAAAAGATATACCCCCAAAATGCTAACTGGTTATTTTTTAAGTAATGGAATTGTAGGTAGTCTTTACTTTCTTCTTCTTCTTCTTTTTTTTTTTTTTTGCGGTATGCGGGCCTCTCACTGTTGTGGCCTCTCCCGTTGCGGAGCATAGGCTCCGGACACGCAGGCTCAGCAGCCATGGCTCACGGGACCAGCCGCTCCACGGCATGTGGGATCTTCCTGGACCGGGGCACAAACCCGTGTCCCCTGCATCGGCAGGCGGACAGACTCTCAACCACTGCGCCACCAGGGAAGCCCTACTTTCTTCTTTTAATTTATTCATCTAAATCACCTGATTTTAAAAGTTCATGTTACTTTTACCATCAGAAAATACAACACGTTCATTTTAATTATTTTTAAAAAAGTCTTCTATTTCTCACTGTTCTGCAGCAACCATGAGACTATGTTATGTTCCTCCTTCTCCATGTTCTTCCAGGATAGCGCTCGCTGTAATTTTCAATTTTTTCCTGTGCATCTTTGTATTGCACAGGAGTATATGACATGGTTGTTCTGTTATCTGACATTTAATGATCAAATATTATTCCCAAATATTTTGATAACCATCATCTCTTCAAAGTCCTTTAACAAATGCTTCTTACCAGCTAAGAAAAGTTCAACAGAATTATGCACTGAATCCCAAACTGCTTAAAAACACCTTTGCTAAAACCAAGTAAGATTCAGATTGCTCATTTTCCCGGAACTAAGGACCCTATCTCCAAAGCCCACAGCTTAAAACACATCTATAATACATATCAATCAGTCTAAAAAGTGATCTTTAAAAATAGAAAAACAACAACCAACTATATCAGAAACTGATACAAAGAAAAATTCCTAACCACTTGGCAGTTAATTTATTCTACTGAAGTTTGTGAACCTTTATGTACTACTCTTAACATACTTACGAATAAACATCATTATCCACAATGATACCTTCAGTCAGGTGAGGCCATGTAGTTGCTAAGTGGAGTTCACTAAAATAAACAAAACGTAGAATATATCCATAAGCTTTAATACTGTATACATACATCCTGACTCAACAATTCTACTTCTAGAATTGTTATCTTCAGTAAATAACCAGAGATGTACATATATGTTAAAAGTGGTCATTATTTATAATACAATAAAACTGTAAACACCCAGTTTAGCAAACGGTAGCACATTCATATAAAGTTAATGTCTGCAAGAAAAAACTATGCTATACATAATAGCCAAAAAGTATAAGTAAACCAAATTTCTATCAGCTGATGAATGGATAAATACAATGTGGTAGTATTAGATACCATGGCATATTATACAGTCACAAAAAGCAATGATGTACTTATTCATGCTAAATGTGGATGAACCTCTAAAACATGCTAAGTGAAAGAAGCCAGACACAAAAGGTCATATATGGTATAATCCAATCTATATGAAATGTCCAGAATAGTCAAATCCATACAGGCAAAAAGTAGATTAATATTTTTGTCTAGAGCTAGAGGGCCTAAGGAACCTAGGAGGGAATGACAGTTAAGAGGTGAGGGGTTTCTTTTGGGGGTAATGAAAGTGTTCCAGAATTAGATACTGATGATGGCTGCACAACTCTGTAAACACTAAAAACACTGAATTGTATACTTTAAAATTTTATGGTACATAAATTATATCTCAATTTTGAAAACACCATGATACAGATCAGGGATTGGCATACTTTTTCTACAAAGGACCAGAAAGTAAGTATTTGGGGCTTTTTATGGGCCATGTAGTTTCTGTTATATTCTTGTTTTTTTTCTTTTAAAACCCTTAAAAATGTAAAAAGCATTTTTAGCTCATTACCTATACAAAAACAGCCTATTGGCCAGATTTGGTCTACCGGTCATAGTTTGCTGACCTCTTATTATAGACAAATATTAAATTTCAGAAAGTTTTCATGTGAAATTATAAAATCAAAAACAAGCCACAAAAAATGTACAAGATGACAAACATTTATAAAATGTACAAAAATACTGTGCAGAAAAGAGTTATCATAGCAGGCCTGATACTTAGAAAGGCCTACTTGCAAGGTTGGCCCCTGGCTTGACATCTGGAAACTTGAATTTCAGGAGGATTCCTACTATTCCCTGGTAAGAATGGCTCACTCTGCCTAAATTACCTGTGCAAACAATACAGTTTATGCAAACATCTGGTTTCCTTCTGGTACATACTAGGCAGAGGGTGCCTACATGACCAGTCTCTGATTAAAAACCCCAAGTGCTGAGCCTCTAATGAGCTTCCCTGGTAGACAGCCTTTCATACATGTCACAGTTTATTGCTGGGAGGATTATGCGTGTCCTATGTGACTACACTGGGAGAGGAAGCTTGTCCTTGGTTTTCTCTGGACCTCACCCAATGTGCCTTTTCCCTTTGCCATTTTTTGCATTGTATCCTTTTGCTGTGATAAATCATAGGCATGAGCACAACTATGGTTGCGTCCTGTGAGTCTTCCTAGCAAATCAACCTAAGGGTGGTGTTGGGGGCCCTTGTTACATATATATACATAAACATGTACATATATATACCTACTTCATGCATATGAAAAATACTGGAAGCACATATAACAAGCTGTTGTCAGTGATCACCTATGACTAGGGGGGTTATGAATTTACTGATTGTTTTTTTCCTGTCTAGATTCTGAACCCACTTATGTTTGGAGAGTACAGAAGCCAAAAGGGCCAATTATTTCACTTCTCTGATATTTGGTGATGCTCGACTAACTAGCAACTCCTGTCTGAGACACTGAATCTACAAGTACAGTTAGGAATTCACTGTGAGAGCAGGGCCAGCACTACACAACAATGAAGTGTAACCTTGGTTATGAACCGGACAACTAGGCACCACTGGCTCAAGCCTATTTTCTGAGCCCAGTTCTACAATGGACCCAATTAAACTTCTGAGTTTGAGTTACCAAATACTTTTCCAATAAACTGATATTTTGCTTGAATTAGAGTTGACGAGTACCATTTGCAACTAAACAATCTGACTACTAAACATATGATTTTTGCCTTTTTTAACGTTATCTAAATTTTTTCTGCTGAACGTGAATTTATTATTTTAAATAAAACTAATTTTTAATGTAAAAAAAATGACCACAAACAGTATGTGATATCAGTGGACATGAATGGTTAGAGGTTTAAAACTATACACTCCTGAATATTTTTAGGTATGAACCGCAGATTCAGTTCCTAAGTTTTTATGACTATGGCCTCTCCTCTCCCTCTAACTATAGAACAATTTCTTTGACAAAGAGAGAAGACACTGGAAAAAGCCTCTTCATTTCCTCTTCCACTACCAAAGATGCCTTTTCAAAAGCATAGTGCCCACAACAGTTGCTAATCACTGTTTGATTTAAATGGTCTGCCAATGTGCACCATCTTACCCTCAACTTATTTCTGTGTTCTTCTTCAATCACTTGTTCCTTTGCTGACTGACTCCACATCATGATATAAATTTGGAAGAAATATTTAATCATTAAACCTTCAGATTTCTACCAGGTCAATTTATTTCTCTCCCCCTAAAATTTTCCCTAGGTGAAATTCAAATAAATGAACCAGTTGGAGGGCCACAAATGTATCTGTAATCCACCCTACAACCTTTCTCCCTTGCTCACTACATTCTAGCCATGAAAGCCACCTTCTATTTTCTTCAGTAAACTCACCAAGCTCTTTCCTGTATCAAGGCACTTTGCACATGCTGTTCCTTCCACCTGGAATGGTCATTCTCTCACTCTTTGCCTGGCTAAATCCTCCCCTAATTGACAGAATAAATTTCACTTCCTTTGAGAAGACTTTACTGATGGCATATCAATCTAAACTAGTTCCTCATTTTACTGTTATTACATCCTGTACTTTTCCTTCAAATTATCCCACAATTTGTAATTGTATGTTTATTTAGGTGATTAGTTCATCTACTTCCTTTAAGTAGACTGTAAATGCCAAGAAGGCAGAAACTGTTTTATTTACTTAGGTATCTTCCTTACTTAGTATAGTGCCTGGCACATATAATAAATATCAATTTTAAAAGATACTCACTTTATTGTCTCCCTTAAATGATTTTTAAGTTAAAAGTATTATTATTTCTACCTTTATGTGAGAGTATTAAAGATATAAGTACACATGTGAATATATTTTTTTAAATAACCAAATAGTTTAACAAATGAGACAGTTTCTGTATCTGCACCATTTATATTTTCCAAATATTCTGCTATCAGTGATTAAATTTTTCAACCCCTGCATTTTCTTGTGAAACAGTTTTTTTTTAAGTTCAGTAGTTCTTCTAGAAAAGCAACTGGGTAACCTATAAGGTCACACTTGTGTCTCTTACTTATGTCTTAATTTCTGTATTTTGAAAAAGCGGCCAAGAAAAATGAAAACAGCTGTTAATTCTGGGTCATGGACATATGAAAGTTTGTTATATAAAATATTGTCTGTGCTTTTCAATATTTAAAATATTTCCCCCAAAGTATACCAAGAACCACTTCTATAAGGAATAATCAATAAATTATATGCTGTACATTTTATGTATTACTTTAAACCCTCTTTTACTTAAGTTACAGAGAAAAAACCAAAGATGGACAGATTGTTACATGTAGGTCTCTATTTCCAGTACTACATTCATTCCAGAAGGCTGCAGTATTATAAAACACAGTAAAATCAACATCAATATAATTTAAAAAGTAAAAGTCCCATAATTCAAATGATATAATGAAATTCGCACCTAATAGGATCTTCACAGGCACCAAATGGTAACTTGCCAAATTCCAGGCCTCCCACTTCTCCTCCTACAAGGGCATCTATATCTAAACAAGAAAAAAAAAATTTTCCATCAGTTAGCCAAAAATGGAGAAATAAGAATTTAAATCTAGGTAGGTCAGCCCTTTGAGAAATTTAAGTTTTAATGGTGTCTACATTAAGATACATATAGCAAGTTAGAGAACAGTCATATATTAAAGACTTCCCCCAAGAATGTTATAGTAAAAGGACACATTTAATTCCTATTTGTAAGGTGCTGTATTCAAGCTATGCATTCTAAATTTTACTCTTCGGAAATAGTCCTTAAATATCACTCAAGAGAATATTATTCCTGTAAATTTCATTTTCTCAGAATGTGATTAATAGCATCTAAAAGAAAGATTATCTGAGTATTAAAAAATTTAATCATCAACCTACATTCATCAGTTTTGCTGTCAATAATTTCTGAATAGCCCAAATTAGTCATCATTAATAAAACCTTATATCAGCTGACAGTACACAGAAATATCTGAAGTTCAGAAAAGAATTTCCATTCCATTATGAATGGTATCTGAGATTAGAGGAGAATTTAGAGGGTGTATCACCCCTTAGCTCCATCCCTCTTGAAGAAGTAATAAACACTTCTAAAAGACTTCAAAAAGATTTCCCTTTGAAATAACAGATGGTTGTTTTTAATTATTCACACTACACCAAGAATTTCTAAAATTAAAGTCTACTGTTGAGTTATAAACACTCCCAGATTTGCTAAAATTATGTTTGACAATTATCTTCACCCTAAATTATTAAAATTAGTTATTAAATATGGCTCAATTACTTGATTCAGTAAATTATCTCAAGTCAATTCATTCCATTTTTCCAACTAAAGAATGCTTACAATAAAGATCACAATGACTAGCTTTACTATAAGATGTGAATTAAGAGCTTCAAAATTTATAATAAGCACTTTTTTTTTTTTTTTTTGGCCACGCCGCACTGCATGCAGGATCTTAGTTCCCTGACCAGGGATTGAACCCATGCCCCCACTGCAGTGGAAGCACGGAGTCTTAACCACTGGACCGCCAGGGAAGTCCTAAGCACATTTTTTAAACCAGTAAGCTAAAAATTATTAATAAACTATAACTGTACGAAACTTTTAGTCAAATTAAAAGTTGAAAAGCTACACTGTAGAATGAAAGAATGATGGGACTTGGAGTTTGACCAGGATTTAAATGTGAACTTTATCACCTGGTGACCATGTGGCCTTGGGCCAGTTACTTTTTTTCTCTAAGAAAGATAATAATACTTGTCTCATAGATGGGAATTACCTGAAACAGTATATAAAATGCCAGGCACAGTGTCTGGCCCATATTACATGTTCAGTCCCTTCCCTTTAAAAGAGAAAATATTAAAAATTTATATGGCTTTCAATCCACTGAGAAAGAAGGTTAATATTTTGATACCCATTTTTAAAAACTAGCAATAGAACATTAACAAAGGCGTACTGTTGTCTGGAAACTAAAATTACCAAAACAAACATTTGAGTCTTCTAATATAAATCTCAGCTTAGCTTTTATTTCCCTCTGCTGTAGTTTAGATGGAGTTCTTTTACTGCACATTACTTTCAAATTATTCAGTGGTATATAAAACAGTAGTAGTATATATAACCACCAAAAGCTAAATGTACTACATTAATTTTAGTATCATCCCAAGATTATCAATTTACTATTTTCAATCTCATAAACAAACCAACCATTTTGGAACAAAAATAAACAGTAAAGAATATTATTTTATTATAATTTATTTCTCTTTGAGGAAGGTAGAATGGATAATGTTTTCAGGCTACTAAAATCCTTGTAATTATTTTATAAGTTTATATTAAATTTCTTATTAGATAGACGTGGATATAATTGCACTTTTTGTAAGAGAAACATCCAGGAACCTAAACCTCACTTAATTAAGCTAAATGTCCACCAGGCTGAGCTTTTCTAGAACTTAGATAATGTCTGTTCATATCTGTGTCCTGGCAGAGCCAGCCTATTATAGGCTAATAATTAATGACTGTTAATGAATCAGTATATTAATGGTTAAGTAGGTAAAATGATTTTAATCACAGTTTTATAAAAATGCAAGTTAAAGTAAGATATTCTACAGCTCTTCCCAGCATAAGTGTATATGTATATACACCTTTTTCTCTTTTCTGCTTTCCTTATTTAGCCCTCTTCTTCAAACTCTACTCTCTATAAGGTTGTGTGCGTGTCTGTTCGCAGCCTATGAGGGTGGCTTCTCTTATTATATTCTGAAAGCAGACATTTTACTCATTACGTACTAATTTGCAGCACACGATGTTCCACGGCAAGGGAATGCTTTATAAATAATATTAGCTTTCAAAAACAGATTGTCAGGGCTTCCCCGGTGGCGCAGTGGTTGAGAGTCTGCCTGCCGATGCAGGGGACGCGGG